TGCCTTTAAGTTGAGTCCTCTTAGAAAACCTAATTCAGGTAACCCAGAGCCAATACAGAGAATCGTTAAGGTTCTCCTTGATCTGTTTCCAGTACTAAATTCTGTATCAGTCAGGGTTTTATCAGCCTGAGAGGCAGAATCACTGGAGCAATTATGGGAGCTGATTAAACAGATTATCCGAGGCTGTTGCTTCTGTGTCTGGTGCTGGAACCTTGTATTATTATTGTATATGTTATTATGTTTATATATATAAAAGGCATGTTTCTTATGAAGAATCAGCTCGGGTGATTATGGAGGCTGAGAAGTCCCACAGTCTACAACCTGCCATCTGGAGACTCAGGAAAGCCGGGGTGTAGTTCTAGTCTGGATGTGAAGACCTGAGAACCAGGCGCACCTGTGGTGGATGTCCTGCTCCAGTGGCAGGGGAGGACCGAGGTTCTGGCGCAGGCAGTCAGGCAGGGAGGCTGAGTTCTCCTTTCCTTGGACTTTGTGTTTTATTCAGGCCCTCAGTGGAGTGGCTGATGCCACCCATGTGTTTTACTCAGTCTACTGATTCAGATGCTAATTCTTTCTGAAAACATCCTTACAGACACACCAAGAAATAACATTTAATCAGCTATCTGAGCAACCCATACCCCGGTCAAGCTGACACATAAAATTAGCCATCACAAGCCTGAAGTCCACCGACAAGGCGGCTGAGCAGAAAAGGTGGATGTCAAGGGGAGAGCCAGGGCAAATGTGAACCTTGGAGGAAGGACTGGAACCCAGGAGGATGCACGGAAGCCCTGGGGCTTTCTCCCAGCCGAGGTGGAGTCCGGCAGGGCCGCACACTGCCTGGGGCTTCCTGTGGACCTTGAGTGCAGAGAGAACACAGCTGCTGCCTCGCTTCCACTTTTAAACTTCCTGCGCATCATCTCTGACATGGAGGTCTGCGAGCAAATGCCCTTTCGGCTTAGCTAAGCTGACACAATGTAAATCCACTGTACTTAGTTTTAAGGGTCTGCCTCTATGTCAGGTCCTTTTCAAGGGGGAGAAATCTGTCTGAGACAGACACTGCCTTCATAGTCCACAGCCGGGGCATGGGAAACCGGGGAATTGGAGAAATCCTTGTCGTTGGTAGAAACACAAAGCCACCTAGCTTTGGCTGTTCTCGGAGGGGGAGCCACAGGACTAGTGCTAAGGGAGGCAGCTGAGAAGGGGCACCTTTTTAGCTGTCTGTTAACTTACTCTATTCACATCTGTGCCGTATTTCACTTACAATTTATGGTTTTATTCACCAGAATGAGTATTTGTTCGGCATTTTAAGGTTTGTCTGTGTCTTAACCGCTCTGAGGCCCTCAGCTGTGTCTTCTGGTCACTAGTGTAGTGACCTCCTAGTGTCTTCCCTTCTCTACATCATCTCTGTGTAATTTTCTGGTTCTAATATACTTTTTAAGAATTATGCCTGGAGAGGCTGTAGGCCAGGGCCTGGCCCTTCTAGATTTATGACCACATGAACTTTCTTAGGGAAATGCACTGAGCAACATTGACAAGTAAACAATACGATTGCAGTCTTGCACTAGCCAGCTTTATAATTTCATCCGATTTAACTCCGTATGTCTCAGTTTTCCTCATCTCTGAGAAGTAGAAATTCACCTGGAGGATCACTAACGTTCCTCTCAGTCTTAACATCCTGTAAGTCTGTGACTCCTCTGTGGCAAGATCTGGAACTAAATCCGGCAGAGAAGGAATTGTTAGCCATTAAAGAGATTATCCTGAATTTCCGAGTGCATTGTTGTGCTGGTGGGAGAGTCTTGGAGAGTCTGCAAAAATGGATGGGTTGTTATCTATCTGAAGTTGCACAGAGCTGAGATGGAAGAGATGACCTTATAATGTGTATAATTATGATTAAGTTATTTCATTACTCTTCCCTGGTGGAATTCTTAAATGAAAAATAGTAACTATCTTTCCTCCCCCTCCCTCTCACACAACAAAGGCACACACGCCGCACAGACACAGAAGCCGCGATAAAGCTTCCAGAGGAGCTGCCTGATAGCCACATCTGCACAGAGTTCATGGCTTCATTTTTTTTTTTCTCCAGTTGTAAAGTAGGATTATTTCAAAGAAAATTAAACTATTAATTTAATTAATGTAATTACTTGAACAGGAAAGAAGCATAATTGCTCCCAAATAAATGGAGCAGAGGATGAAAGCCATGAAGGAACTCTGTGACATCATTTATTATCTTATTTTTAAAAATAAGTTTAAAAAATGTTTCTGAATTATCTTTTTAAAATAAATCTATATTGAGCCATGATGTTCTGGGTGAAAAAAAAAAGTACTGTTTTGATAACAATTTAATTTGTAGCTGAATTTCGTATATTATGCTTATTTTTTAAGTTAAAACATACTGAGTTAAGCATTTATTGAACTATGCCCACTTTGTCATTGAAGTATTTCATTGGTAATTGGAATTGATCTGTGGGAAAAATATGTTTACTTTTATTGGTTGAATTTGGCCTAGTTGAACCAATTTTCAAAGAAGCTATTTTTATGACATTTCATCCGAAATTCCTACTTAAATCGCCAAGCCTTGCCTTTTTTAGCCACTACTGCTATTTTACTTCACTTCTTTGCAATGTTCTTCAGAAGGGAATAAAATTAATCAGGCAGGAACCTCAAGCGCAAGGGTTATTTTATTTCAGATATTGGGAGAAGACAATTTAATTCACTTCCTCAAACATTTGAGCAAAAGTCTCAGCTGAGTAATATTCAGGATATGAATATGAGGATGACATAATCTCAGGGAACTACAGTGCAGAAATATAAGACAGCCATGTTCATAAATAAATACACTGCAAGGCAAAATACACGTCACTCTGCCTAGACTGTTCCTCCCCACCCCTGTCCAGCTCCCTCCCTGCCTTGATGCCTCTTATTCTGTATGTTCTCTTGTTGTGTGTCTTCCTTTCTTTTAATTTTGTTTTTCTAAGATCAAGGGACGTAGGAGTCCTGTCTGTTCATTCCCGTTTCCCCAGTGCCTATTATATGCACTTAATACATTTTTATTGAAGGGAATTTATTATAATTTAATCTAAATTAGAAGTGATAAAAATTAAATGATTTAGGAGGCTTCAAAAGAGGAGGCTCTTCCTTGTGGTTGGGCAAATAAGCCAAGGCTCTGGGCATTTCTGTTTAAGATGGAGCTGGAAAAATGGGTAACATTTAAAAGTTAGAGGTGTGGGTTGCTTTTTTTTTGTTACTGAGTTGTATGAGTTGTCTGTATATTCTGGAAGTTAAGCCCTTGTCAGTCGTATCATTTGCATATGTTTTCTCCCATTCCGTAGGTTGTCTTTTTGTTTTGTTTACTGTTTCCTTTGCTGTGTGAAAGCTTATAAGTTTAATTAGGCCCCATTCATTTATTTTTGCTTTTATTTCTATTGCCTTGGTAGACTGCCCTAGGAGAACATTGCTATGATTTATATCAGGGAATGTTTTGCCTATGTTCTCCAACGAAGACATACAAATGGCCAATAGACACATTAAAAATGTTAGGATTGCTAATTACCAGAGAAATTCAAATCAAAACTACAATGAGGTATCACCTCACACGGGTCAGAATGGCCATCATTAAAAAGTCCACAAATAATGCTAGAGAGGGTGTGGAGAAAAGGGAACGCTCCTACGTTTTTGGTGGGAATGTGGTTTGGTGCAGATACTATGGAAAACAGTATGGAGGTTCCTTTAAAAACTGAAAATAGACTTACCTATGATCCAGCAATCCCACTCCTTGGCATCCATCTGAAGGAAACTCTAATTCTAAAAGATATGTGCACCCCAATGTTCATAGCAGCACTATTTACAATAGCCAAGACATGGAAGTAACCTAAATGTCCATCAACAGATGCCTGGATAAAGAAGTTGTGGTGTATATATGCACAGTGGAATACTACTCAGCCATTAAAAAGAATAAGATAATACCATTTGCAGATAAATACATAAAATAAACAACAAGGTCCTACCCATACAGCACAGGGAACTATATTCAATACCTTGTAATCCTATAATGAAAAATAATATGAAAAGGAATATATATACATATATACAACTAAATCACTATGGTGTACACCAGAAATTAGTATAACATTGTACATCGACTATACCTCAATTTAGAGTAAAACAAAAATTAGAGAGAGGAGCCATTCAAGGCAAAAGGAATAGTAAGCAACAAAGGAAAATGAGCCACAAAAAAAAAGGACATACTTGCAAAGCATCTCATAAAATTTGACTACATTTTTTTTACTTTAAAATATGTTAAGTTATTGTGTTAATACAGAAAATTATCACTTAATCTGACTATTTAGAGTTTAGTTTTTCTGCTGTAAGTTCTTAATCAAACCTGAAAGAACTTCTACCTCTTCCTTTGGATTGAGGTGAGAGAGTTGGAGAACCAACATGTATCAGTGACTTACCATATGACAGATCCTGCTTGACCCTTGACACAGATTGCCTCATTTAATCCTCATCATTCCCCTGTGAAGGAGACGCTACCATCATCCCCACATACGGAAGAGGAAACTGAAGTTTGGGGAGATCATGTAGCTTGCCCCAGTTAGACAGCGAGTAAGGGGTGAAGCCAACGTTCTAACCCCAACAGCTGATGACAGAATCCTTTTTCTCTTAACTATGCTACAGATGAATATCTGGTGCCTCTCCAAGGAGTTAGAGGCCTATTTGAGAACCTGTGAAGAGCCAGAGAAGGATAAAAGGCTGGAACTTAGGGCAGCCGTGGCTGGATTGAGAAATAGCATGAGGTCAGGTTTCTTGGATAAGGTAGAAAAGATTCCAGAATTAAAGATGTGTAATGAGTATCATGAACTCGAGATGTTTTTTAAAACACGAGAGAAATCAAACAGTTTAAAAGACAACAGTTTTGAACATGGACAGCAGTTCTGAACATCCCCCTTGTTTGGGGGATGTGGGAATTTGGGACCAGTGGAACTGATTTGACAGAAGCAACGATGAGCTCAGTTGCTGTTGAAAGTGGCTTCCATTTCATTGGTAACATGGCAGGAGCTGTGACGTCAGGTCACCTGAGTTGCAGAAACAGCTCTCTCGCCCTTTTTTTGCAGAAGAAAACCAATGCAGTCCGTGTGAAACCGGTAGTAACCCGTATTCTCTAAACGTTTCTCTTGTAGGAAATGTATTTGTGGTGAGCCTAGCAATCGCAGACCTGGTGGTGGCTGTTTATCCATACCCTTTGGTGCTAACATCTATACTTAACAATGGCTGGAACCTGGGATATCTGCACTGCCAAGTTAGTGGCTTCCTGATGGGCCTGAGTGTCATTGGCTCCATATTCAACATCACAGGAATTGCCATCAACCGCTACTGCTGCATCTGCCACAGCCTCAGGTACGACCAGTTGTTCAGCACCAGGAACGCCCTCTGCTGTGTGCTCCTGATATGGATGCTGACGCTCGTGGCGGTCCTGCCCAACATGTGCGTGGGGACCCTGCAGTACGACCCGAGGGTCTATTCCTGCACGTTCGCGCAGTCCGTCAGCTCGGCGTACACGATCACCGTGGTGGTTTTCCACTTCCTTCTTCCTATCGTCATAGTCAGCTTCTGCTACCTAAGAATATGGGTCCTGGTTCTTCAGGTCAGATGGAGGGTGAGACCTGACAGCAAACCCAGACTGAAACCGCAGGACTTCAGGAATTTCATCACCATGTTTGTGGTCTTTGTACTTTTTGCCATTTGCTGGGCTCCTCTAAACTTCATTGGTCTCGTTGTGGCCTCGGACCCTGCCATGGTCCCCAGGATCCCAGAGTGGCTGTTTGTGACCAGTTACTATATGGCGTATTTCAACAGCTGCCTCAATGCAATTATATATGGACTACTGAACCAGAATTTCAGGCAGGAATACAGAAGAATTATCGTCTCACTGTGTACAGCCAAGATGTTCTTTGTGGATAGTTCTAATAATGTAGCAGATAGAATTAAATGCAAACCCTCTCCATTAGTGACCGACCATAACCTAATTAAGGTGGACCCTGTTTAAAAAAGTAGAGCATTATTGGCAAGATGTGAACACTGCTCAAATTCTTACTCGTTTTCATGTTTGCTCCCTCTTGACGGATGCTTAGAAAAGCAGCGTGGTTGAGAAACTTACCCTCTGAAGAGACTGCCTCTACAGTTTTTAAGCTAACGTGCAGCCAGCCTTTTGAACACATCTCTAATTCTCCGTATCACGAGAAACACAGAACGTATACTGAGTTATATGTTCATTAAAGAATATGGTTCAGGGACAGAGTTGGGGTAATTTTAAATAAAAATGCTCAGTATTTTCAAGTGGAGAAAGAGTGTGCAGCCTCTTCTTTTATTGCCAGTGAGTGCCACAAAGGTAGCAGTTGCTTTTTCCTTTCACTTTTTGAAAATTTCTAGTAGAAAGGCAAATGATGTATTTTATTTAGAAATGAGTACATGGGACAAAAAGGAGAAAGTGAGGTGAGTGACTCATTACACAGTGAAAAGCTGAAAATAAACCAGTGAATAACTCAACAACAACCATAACCATGACCACAAAGTCTTCGACCAGCAGCGTTAGCACTGGGTAGCTGGAGTCACTATCACAAGTGTTTGTTACTCTCTATTAAAAGTTGCACATTCAAGTAGATGAAGGACTAACTACACGACAGAGCTCTTTTTCAGATGTCAGTGTCCATACTATTCCAAAACAATAGCTGCATGTAGAACTCTGTTCAACTTTGTTAGACTTTTGGCTTCTTATTATTTTGCCACTGAAGATCATCATCATTCATGTCACTGACCAGCGTTTTGAGTTGATCTCTGTTAATTTATTTACTCATCTAATCAGTTCAGTTAAAAATGCCAAAGAATTAAAGAGCTGTAGATTCTTAGATACATGTGTTACGTGTGATGAATGTGTTCTAGACTGATAATTTGAGCAAGCAAATATCTAGACCAGAGTTTTCCTTTTATAGGTATCTCAAAACAGTATTCTTTAATAATTCATTTCAGTTTTCATTGCCCTAATAATGCTTAAAGTCTAGAATTAAAAAATAAAAAAGCATGAGTAAACTATGGTGTCATAATCCATGGCTCTCGTTTACCCCAAATAGCCGTTTGGAGCTACTGTGAGGTTTGTGGCATGGAGTGCTTTGCAGGAAATCAGAACCATATTTTCTTGTGTGTTAGAGTTCTGCAACAAAACTGTCACATTCTAGAAGGAATTGGTGATTGGCATCTATATGCGGATGAGAAAAAGCGATCTGGATGTGTTTACTGAGGTCTCTATAGCTAGATAATCAGAATCTCCTTGGAAAGTTCGAGGGTCAATTATTTTAAAAGGCTCCTTTGATAATCCTGTTCATCAAGCACATTTGGGAAACACTCAGTTATGGTTTGTGGTGATGGGGGGGGTGATAGTAATGGTGTGTGTGTGTGTGTGTGTGTGTGTGTGTGTGGAGTTGACAACAAGCCCCAGTAGGAAGCCACTTTCTACTCTCTCTGGAAGAGCACAGCACAGCAGTGTCCGCCTGGCTTTCTCTGGGATATATATATTTTCTCATAATAAACCCCATGGGTTACTTCTCAGGTGCTTCCAAAGTAAGCATTTTATCATAATATCCATCTGCAGTCATTGCTAAAGCTAAATTTCCAGAGCAGTCTTCTGGGTCTCTTATGCAATACAGTAAATCGATCGTAAATCATCTAACTTAAAAAAAAAGAAAGTTAGCTTAAAGAAAGGAAACTTCCCTAAATAGTACTTTTTCTCATTACGCCATAAACATAAGCCCAGGTGACAGGAAAGGCATTTCAGGTAAATATTGTTGGAGTTCTTAGAGCTCCAGTATCTGAGCTAGATTCTCCGTGTAACTTATCATTCAGAGATTGTGAGATCGGCTGCTGAAATTACAATGATCATTTTTATTCCTTCCATGTTCCAAGTCTTTAAAAAAATATGGCTTGGTTTAGTTCTCATAATAGTCTTTAGACATTGATAATCCCCTCACGCCTTACAGGTACATGTAATCCAGTTTTCAGGGATGGTGTTTCTCCTTAAAATCCAAAGAATAGTAAACAAAATGCTGATTCTATAGGCAGTAGGCAGGCCATTTCATGGCCAGCCAGGCAACTTCCAAACAATTCCTGTGAATTTTTTCTTTTTTTATTGAAGTATAGTTGATTTACAATGTTGTGTTGATTTCTGGTGTACAGCACAGTGATTCATTTATATTTATATATACATATTCCTTTTCATGTTTTTTTTCATTATAGGCCATTACAAGATATTGAATATAGTTCCCTGTGCTATACGGTAGGACCTTATTGTTCATCTATTTTATAAGACCAATTTGGCACCCAATAAGTAATTGTTAAATAAATGAATGAATTATTGATCTATAGATTAGAAATCAGTATCTTTTGCATCTGTTTACAGTTAATATATAGTAGTGAGAGGAGGGGGGTTAAAAAGCCAAGTAACATTCATGTCATCATTAATGACACAGTATTACTTTTCTAAGTGCAGTCTCTTAAGTAGTCAGTTTCTAAAAGGCTCTACCTGGAAATTAAGTAGTGGGTTATCCATGCTACTTCTGCTTCCCTTCAACAAACCTGCCTTTTAGCCCTTATTAAAATATGTGTGTTGGATTTTCTATAGAAACTAGCCCAACAAGACATGGGAGGTATCACACTTAGAACCAATAAATATGAAGTTGGAGTCATTTCTACTAGTTATGAATTTTCAAGTGCCTAGTCCCGTTGAAAGGGAGACTGAAATGCTCAGGAGAGAAGGAAGGAAAATGAGTATCTTGTTTTAAGACTTTCTTTTATGCCTCAGTCTGTGAACCCAGGCTTTTGAAAAGAGAAGTGTCTCACGCTAGGGCTGCAGCCATTTCTAGCACAATTGTTTCAGACAAAGACACTTCTAAGAGATTCAGGGAGCAGGTGCTTCAAAAGCCGAGAAGGTTCCACTTGAGTGCCCTCAACCATGTTTTCTCAGTCCCGGGCAAGCACGGAAGTGGTATTTCAGCTCTACCAGCTACAGAAATCTATCTGTAGAACTTCATGTTGCTCTCGTCCAGAGGAAACATGCTACCTCAAAAGCAAAGCACCACAAATTAAACCAAGAACAAACAATAAACATGCTTAAATAAGTTCATTAATGTCAGTGTGTTCACTGTAACTTTTTTAGCAAAATGATCCAGTTCAGCATTATGCTTCATGTCACTTAAGTCTTTAAGTTTGGAATAATTCCCCAATCTTTCCTTGACTTTGTAGCTTAAACACTTTTGCAGATTTCAGTCATTTTGTTGTGTCCCTCATTTGGGGGTTTCTGATGTCTCTTCACGATTAGGTGCTCTCTGGACGTGATGCTGTGTTCCTGCTTCATCCTATTAGATGTCAGAGGATTTCAATTTGTCCCATAACTAATGATATTCATTTGATCACTTGATGAGTTACTCTTTGTAATTAACATTTTGTGAGGAAGCACTTTGAGGCTATATAAATATCCTATTCCTCACCAACTTTTCAAAATATTTGTTTATTTATATTCGGATGCACTCACGTTTTCCTATTTTATTCAGAGGATATAGTTTGTTACTACCATTAACAATTTATTTTGATGCTCAAACTGCCCCCAGTTTGGCAAACAGGAAGCCATCAAAGTTGTCTTCTGGATTTTTGATATGTTCCATCATTTATTGAGCACTTTCTTCTCTTCTGGTACAATGAGATCTTCCAGGCTATCTTACACTTTCCTAAAGTATATTTTGTACATATTCTAAAGCTATGTTTCCAATAACTAGTACCTACTCAAAATGGGAATCATAAAATGTTCTTTTTCTCACCTTGAATCTCTTGGGCAAACAAAATAAGGTACCTGAACCGTATGATTTTCCACTAAAGTTATGAAGGGCGGATAACAAAAAGGTATAAAAGAAAATAAGATGAAAGAGAAAAAATTGTCTTGGCAATTAGATTTTGTTTATAAGAACTTGGTTCCTGTTATTGGTAAATACCATCTGTCTGGGATAACCACTCAATTTAAGTAAGTGAAAGCACAGTCTCGAGAGATAGAGATCAAATCAGTGCGGAAAACAGCTCTTAAGGAGATTGTGGTTGTTAGCATTGTGGGCTGTTTATCCACACGCAGTGCTGAGTCATTACATAATCGTCATAAGGACAAATGTTTTGCACAGATAATTAGTATCTTGGTGAGGAGTTTGACTCAGGGAAATAAGAACTGGAAAAAAATAAAACTAGCATGAAGTGAAAGATACAGAATACGTGCATGAGGAATAGGGGCATGAAAGAAACGTGTCTTTCATTCAGATGTTTGCCGATCACCACTGTATGCCAGGCACGTGTCGATTCTGCTTCTCTGCAGACCCTGACTGATGCTCTGGCGCAGAGGGGAGCACGCCGGGGACAGCAGTTGGAGAGAGGAGCCAGGAGCAGGTGGGGCAGCCCCTCAGAGGAGCCGGCCAGCAGCATGGCCAGTGGCCGGTGCTCCAAGACCCACAGAATAGGGATGCAATCATTTTTCACAAACTGTTTTTTTTACTTCGATAAAGTGGTTTCTCACCTACCCTGTTTCTCACTAACTTTGGTTTTTTTTCAGATAGAATTATTTATCTCAATTCATTAACAGTTAAAAAAAAAAAAGCAACCCTGAATTCCTCCTCTGAGGGCATCCTCATAGGGGTCGGTTCTAGTAAGACATGTCTGAACTCTAGCCCCACCGAGAAAGAACTTCTGTTCTTGCTTCAGTAGTTTTCGGTTTTTAAAATTAGAATAGCCAACCACACAATTTGGAGTCATAAAACAAAGCCTACAAACTGTGGTGTTCTTGAAATGGTCAAGAATCACATGAAAATGGCATAACTGGAAACACATTAGACAATTGATTTGTTTCTTTAGGCTGAAGTCATATTTTAATGGAATCATAGTTAAGGTGAGCTGACACTTTTTAATAGTTTAATCAGATGTTCTGTTTCCAAGTAACTAGGAAAATGGCAGGTGAATACATGCTATTCAGTCCTTCCTTTTGAAACTATATTCTTCTGTTCTCTGACGGGATAGAAAAGAATAGGTTAAATTAACACATGTCTTTGTTACTGCCCTTCAGATAAACGTTAAAAATCCTTAGTATAGTTTATGAGGATTCGGGCCCCAGTTCATCTCTAAGCTTGATTTCCTTCCCCTTCCTCCTCACTGTATGTTTGAAAGTCAGACTGGACTTTGTTCAGCATCCTTTTTCAACTCCACGGCTTCCCTGAACCCCCCCCCCCACCTTTGCTCACCCTCTTTCCTCTGCTCAGAATGTTCTCATCCATCCTCATCTTCACCTGGCCAAGTCTGGTCCTTCTACAAGGCTTAGTGTCACATTGTCAGAAACCTCTCAACGCCCCCCAGTCAGCCGCTGCAATCAGATGAGGTCCCACACACACACACCTCAGAACAACATCTAACTTGATCAGTGAACTGTGCCCGGCACGTGACACAGCCTCTGGCACATGTTAGGGGCTCAAATAAATACTTCTGCAGCACAATATCCATATGGCTCCTTAGGCTAAAAACAGACAACAGTTTTTACCCAATTTTAATTATATAGCACAAATAATCTTTGATTCCAAATATCTCTTTCGATCAAAAACCTTACAGTTTAAGAACTTTGTCTCCGATGGTTGATTTTATGTGTCTACTTGGCTAGGCGGTGGCGCCCAGCTGTTGGGTCAAACATGACTCTTCATGTTGCTGTAAAGTTGTTTTTGTAAAAGTGATTAACATTTTACAGTCAGTTGACTTAAAAGTAAAAGAGGCCCACCTCAGTATCATGGGTGGGCCTCCTTCAATAAACTGAAGACCTTAGAAACAAAAACTGAGATTTTGGTAAGGAATTCTGCAAGACTAACCTAGAAATCCTGTATTTTCAATCCACTGGCCTGCCTTACAAATTTCAGAGTCAACACCAACTCTCACCTGAGTTTCCAGTTTTTCAGCGTTTCTAAGACACAAACACATACATAA